TCCCCAAACAGCAAGTAGCACACATGCCATTTTGTATTTCCACTGTGTGCTTAGAAGAGGAGAAATTGGATAATGCTTTTAATAGCAGTACTGCTGCCCCAAATCTTGTTTTCTCTGGTCATCATTCTTAATGCTGGCACTTGATTTTCACTGCAGAAAAAAATCTGTAGACTTAGATCCTGACTCCTTCTAAGCCACTTTGAATTCCCATACCTCTTATAATCATCCTGAGAACAACAATGAAGATAGACAGAAAGTGTTCTCTCTTAAGAAAAAGTAAATAAGCAAATATGTCATAAAGCATTTGTGTTTTCTTCAGCAGCAGTTAGGGGTAATACGGATTAAACACTTTTCATAACCAGCATCTGCATAATTACTAGAAAAATTTGAGGGAGTGAGGGTTCTGACACAATTGTATGATACGTTTTCACAACACAGAATCCAGTGAAGGGGAAAAAAACAATAATTTTACCATTACAATATCCACAATTTTATATTGGTAAATCAAGCATAAAATTAGTAGTTGAAATGCTCCCAGCAAGGCTTTGTTTAGAAATTCCTTTATTCATCAGTATATTATCTTGGTCACTTACTTGCTAACTGCTGTCATTTCCTGAAGATGAGCTATTGTATTTAGCATGTTACTATGACTGTATTAAAAATGTGCTGTTTTGTTATGTTTATTGGGTTCCACAAGGAAAATAAGAATCATAATTCATATTGAAAAACCTTCAAGAACAGACTCTTCAGAATTATTTTGCCTATTTTAATGATACAGTGTCTGAGGTAATTTTAATACTTTGTGTCTGTTTTTATTACAGGTATCATATCCACATTTCTTCATGTCCACCCTTTTGGAGCCAATATAGAGTATCTTTGGTCTTATATGCAGCAGTTGGACTCTAGGGTAAAAAAAATTTAATCAAAATCTGTTTTCTCTTTAGAAATATTGTATTATTCTTTACTCCAGGTTAAACTCTTCATGCATTTCCATTAGAAAGATAATGGGATATGGGGCTTGGGGGTTTGCAGTCTTTATTCATTTGCAAATTACAGTGCACGTGCTTGTGTTGAGGTCTTTGCTTCGCACTGCTTAGCTATCCTTTGTGGCACAGAAGAGCAGAGCTCTAAATAGCAAAGACTAGCAGCTGATTTTATGACACATATGATGCTGAAATATAGCTGCAGAGAAAAAAAGCAGAACAGGAGGCAGGTGTGGCCATGGCCATCAAACTGTGCAGTTTTTGGAGATGGCCCTTTATTCTTTGAGAAGTTGTTAGTCATGTGTCATACTGAACTGAACATTCATGAACACAGGAATGGACCATGTTGCATGTCTTTTGTCGCCATGTGGGAGCAGAGATGACCACATAAAGGAGTTGGGTGACCTTACCAATTTCAGTGAAGCTGTGGCAAAGACAAAAGTGAGGCAAACACAAAAGAGTGTGCAAAGTGTTTAATGCATCATACAGTAGACTTACAGTCGATACATACCTGTAAGATAAGATTCTTTGATTTACTCTTTAATTTCTGCTGTAGAATGAAATTAAATCAAGCCCCCAAAAGGTCCTATTCCTCTGCACTGAATATTAAGCAAGTCACAGGTGAGAAGCTCAAGTGTGAAATGATCATGTGAATGGTACTCCAGGTGCTAAACAGCAGCTCTGCAGGATGCCAGGCTGCGAGGGACACTCAGATGCAGGGGTCACCCTGCAGCCAGCCACAGCTATGTCCCACATCTGCCAATACTTGGATGATGGTGCTTTCCCAGATCTTCTTGTAACACAACTCCTTTGGTCCTGGTAATGTTTTGCTCCTGAACAGTACCCTCAGCCCACAGATAAGATTGGCTTCCCACTGCTTTGATGGGCTGCTTCATGCTTCTGGATGATCCTGGATCTTTCCTCTGTTTCTATGAAAAAGTGTAGAGCTAAAAGCAGAGGGGATCCTGAACTAGAAGCTCACTGGAACTACAACAGGCTGCATTGATGAGTGAGGAAGGATGATGAATTTGTTAGGCACTGCCTTCAGGCCACGGCAGCTTAGGTTTGCTAGCGCTTTACAGCCACACACAATGAAAAGGGAGTAGGGGATGGGGATGGGAGAAAGAGGGGAGAAACTGGTGAATTTGAATTATTTTTTTAAATGTCTGATTTTATCAAGACCATCTCATTATCAAGATGAATCCAGAGCTTCACACCAGCCATTCTTCTGCTTCTCTGTGCCCCACCAAAGGTGCATTTTGCTTCGTCTTGTCCTGAATCACCCAGTCTGTCCAATCTCCTCAGTTTTCTTTCAAGCCCTCCCTTAACACAGAATTTGGCCAAGTTTCAACTGCTTTTTCCCCTGGATGACCTCTCCAGCTCTGTATCTCTTGAGTGATAACAGGAATCTTCCAAAATGTGGACTCTATAGGCTCCAGCCCTGCTGCTCATTGCTTCTTCCCAGTGAGCTCTTCAACATTCTCACCCTGCAGTGCTGTGGTCCCTTCTTGCACATGACTTTGGGCTCCGTCCTTGAGTTTTTGCTCACATGAGAGTGACCTGAGGGCTTCTGTGAGGCTGCCAGGGCAGCTCTTGACTTGCAAACAGAGCCCTCAAGGAAGGAGCATTGTCTCCATCTCTGCAGCTACCACTGGACCTACCTACTGCATAATAAACACAAGCTGCAAAATTTGACCTCGTTGGTTTATTTTGGAAGCAGCTGCTTGTAGAAACAAATTACTTTTTAATAGCACGATCCAGAGATGCAATTTCAGAGATGAATTTCAATTACTTTCCATGGTTAGCCTGTCATTCCTCGCCTGAACAGGAATGATAAGGTCAGCATACCCGTGTGGGCTGAGGGCTCAGATACATTGCACAAAAGTAACCAGACACCCACAGCTGCCACGTGAGTACTTAAAAGATGGATTGGATCATGCTGAGGCTTTAGACTGCCTCCAACACTGAGTTTTGGTGCCACTTTTAACAAATCATTTAATCTTTCTGCTGCACTAAACCCTACAGAAAAATAAGAAGCAATAGATATTTTTTCAACCCCCTTGGGTGTAGTGAGGTATAATTAGCACATTTTATGTTTATAGACTGTTTTAAAAAGGAAGGGTTTCATCATGGAAGGTTTCTACTAGTATTAATAAGCAGAAGTATCATTATTTCCAGAGAAGCCTTTCAAACCGTGGAGATACCTGTGGATAACAGGCAGCACCCATAGATCTCTTTGCTGTTCCTTTCATGACCACCACTTTAGATGCAGTAGGATAAAATGGCTCATATTCCATGACAGTTGGTTTCTTGTCTTCCCTACTGATTATACCAGGAAGGTTGCTTTTGTGAAAGTTTTTCTGTAATGAGAGCATCTTGCCTATTAGGAAGGTGAGCAGTCATTAAGGTTTTGGAAAGATAAAAACATCCTGACCTGTGCAAAACTGGGAGCTTTACTCTTAATTACCTGGGACTGCAGAATTGGGTGACACCAAGGGAAGATGGCTCCATGGATAGTCAGCCTTCAGTAACAGCAGGGAGCTGAATAAAGTCTTTTTGAAGGAGAAGAACTGATAGAGCTGGGAGAAGAATTCAAAAGCATTGGATGAGAAGAAGAATAAGGTCCCATCTGCTTCCTCCTCCTCACAAGAACACCCATGACTGTAATTTTTAGATGGACTTCATACCACAGTGGCCACAACCCTGACATGGCAGTTGTCATTGCTTTACAGTGGGATGCCACCCACATGAGCAAAATTATTCCTGTGAGGAATCTGCACTTGCTTTGGAGTCAGGAAATTCTTGTCAAGCTGAGGTTAAAAAAAAAAATAATAATGGTTGGCTGTTTTCATATGCCCTGGATTCCTCTCCCCTGCACCCCTATTATATCTGTTCTTAATGTTTCTTTTTTATAAGCTACAGAGCAGCTTTCTCACTTTAATTTTACCTTTGTTTCATTCTCAGATCTCTGCAAATGAGATAGAAATGCTTTTGATGAGACTGCCACGCATGTTTAAACAAGAATTCACTGGTGTAGGAGCAACACTGGAAAAGAGGTGGAAGTTTTGTGCCTTTGAAGGAATTAAAACTGTCTGACTGTGACTAGTAATGAAGCTATGCAGAAGAAGAATTCCTAGAGCATGGCAGGGTTATAAAGTATTAAAGTAAGAAATTTGGGTTTGGGCACATAGTAGTATGTTTTCAAAGTTATCCAAGCCTAATTTTAGTTACATTTGTGACGTTCTCTTGTGAGTGGAAATGTAGTTGTGCACCAGTTCCTAAAATAAAATAAAATTAAAAAAAAAAGTTTCAAAATGTGACAGATTGTTTCCTATGAAAACTGAAGAAAGATACCACAGTCGTAATGATTTCAAAATACTACATGTCCTACATCTAAGAAAAGCTCATTGAGCAAACAGCTAAGGAGAAAGATTGCCCAGTTATGGTCGCTAAGCTACAGCGATTTATATATGTAATATGTAGTAGAACTCATTAAGTTTTGTTATAGAAAGTTCTTTCTGTTTAGTAAAGAGAATTGAGTAATTTTGCAGTGAGGAAAAGCATACCAAAAGAAAACTTGAAGATGTGTCTGAAGTTATTGTATTTTGTAAATTAAGTTATATGCTGTACCAGGGATTTTTTGCCTTATTGAAAGAGGCCTGAAAATGTGATTGGAGTCCTCAAGAATGCTTTATCAAGAATATTATTTTTCTAATGTAACTATTCTCCATTACAAGTTCTTTTAACATGGATTGCATATCAATTTTCATAAACGTGTAAATAAGGAGGAAACCAGTGTTACTGTATTGTATTTGGTATGTAACATTCAGGTTTATGCATCAAAATAAATATTCAGTTGCATTACTGTTACAAATTTTATAGCAGATATATTAATTTTTATCAATAAATATGACTTCTACCATATTGTTTGTATAATTATTTTTTCTGACGATATTGAATTTTAATCGATCCAGCAAGAGTCTCCTGGAACTTATCTTTCCCCTACCTGAACTATTAATTGCAGATAACTCGGTTAAATGAAATATAATTTTAAAAAAAAGAGCTTACAATATTAGCTAAGATTAAAATAATTTCAAATATCAGTAGAGGAAGAACCAGTATGGAGCTTTGATTTTTTTTTTTTCAACAAGCAGACAGGTGAAAAATGAACACATTCAAGCTTCCTGTTTTCATTGTTGTGTTGGGTAAGAAACAGCAGCCCCCTCTTTGCCACACCCCTGTGCAGGCAGAGGAGCCAGCCACAAGAGACCTGGTCCTAGGAAGTGGGGTACCAACAGTGAGAAACACAGAAAACTGAAACAGCTGCAGGGAGTATCCAGATATATATCTGTGATGTTTCACTCAGGTCCTTCAATAAACAGCAATTAGTGTCAAATGCATTTAGTAGTGAAGGAACTCTCCAACATGGCTTTCAGTGATTGGTACTTTAGGACATATTTCTCTTCTGGCATCTACCTGGAATATAGAAATATTAAATGAAATGCTAATTGCATACAAAAGGGGAAAAGAAAGAGGCTTAGCAGGTCTATTATGGGGAAAAAATTATGCTTTCAGGCAGTACACACAAAATTAAAAAAATCAAGTACGTCTCAATTATGGTTGCTATAGAACCTGTGATAAGTTACTCAGGTGAAACTAGTAATTATATGCCAGTTATGTTAATGAAAATTAACTAGTTTAATCCAAGTAACAACTCTGTCCTCTCTTGAGATCATACAGTTTCATGAATAATTCTGGCAAAAATGTGTTAGGTCTGACAGCTCGTATTTAGGTACTGAAACGTAAATGTGTATGGATGCCACTAAGGCTGGGGAGAAGAGATGTGAGAAAACTTCCACCTCAGCGTACACCATGCCATACTTATTCATTATGTTCTGTCCTTCCTTTCCTTGTGTCTTCCTTTTTTTCCCTTTAGATCATTGTCTCTCTCACAAAACAACTTCAAATACAGTCAGAAAACTTTTTTTTTTTTTTTTTGACAGAACCTTGTAACGTAATCACTATATTTGTTTTGCCTGTTTTTTTATTATTTTTTTTCTTCGTGAGTTTTTCATGTCTGTCTGGACCATCAGAGCTTTAGAAGAGTGCCTTTTTAGTCCTTGTACCAGTTAAAAGGGAACCTCTTCCACTGGCTTTTAGATACTGCCAAACAAGATCTAAATTTTGAGTATGAATAGCATATAGGCATCCTGAAATATTGGAACACACCAGTTGAGAACTTGAAAACCATCTTCAATGAGTGTCAGGTCGGCCCCAAGAACTAGCTTTCACTTTGTGTGCTCTGGGGCAAACAGGCTTAAAATGTTGAGCTCCATCATTTAGGGGCTGAAATGTCCCTAGGATGACTCTTAGGGTGCCCAGCTGGGAGTTCTGCAGTAAATACAATGAGATTAATAACAAGAAAGCTGCTTTCAGTACAGGATTTTTTGATACAGGATTTTTTGATACAGGAAAGCCACCTAGACTTGACATTAGGGAGCGTTTCTTTACTGAGATGTTGGCCAAACACTGGAATGGGCTTCCAGAGAGGTGATCAATGCCCCAAGGGTGTCGGTGTTTAAGGACACTTGCACAATGCCTTTAATGGCATGATTTAACTTTTTGTCAACCCTGACATGGTCAGACAATTGAATTAGATGATCCTTACAGGTCACCACAAGACCTAGAGCAAGTTTCTGCAGCTGAGTCGGGTTGAATGAAGATGCACATTTGGCAAAACTCAAAGCCAGCTGCACTTAAAAGGATCTTCACAACAGTAGTGGGGAGGAAAAAAAAAAGGGCCAAAGAGATATCACATCATGCTAACCATGAACTCAAGAGATGAGACTGAGCGACAGTCCGGCATACAACTGCAAGTTATGGAAGAAAGTTATAGCAGCATCCCCTCTTCTCAAATAGGGACTAGTGGAGCAGGAGGATTTGGTTTCTAACTGCCCAAACATGCTGAGGGCATTTTGCACAGAGTTTTAAGTTAGGTTGGCCTGAACTCCTGTTCTCTCAGGAAAGATTTTCAGAGCATCCTCAGCTTTGAACTGTTTTGGACTGATGGCAGGGGTGACTTTCATCAGCTTAGAGGGGCCAGCCTCTTGCTGCACTGTATCTGATTCCCTCTAGAAGGATTAAGAGATACACTGTGCAAAACCTCTTGGACAAATGTGCATTTAACCCTGCACATTCAAGGGAGATAAGTGTAACCTCTCTGTTAAACTGCATTTTATGTCCACAAGAGATGTTTTACGTTTGATCATGTTTGATGAAGTCTGTATTATCCCCATCACTGAAAAGGAAATTCTTAATATCTCCTCCTACACAGCGGAGTCAATTGTTTATTGAAGTGTGTGTGTTTAGGGCAAAACTTGCATGTTTAGGACTGCCAGAGCATCACATTCACTTAAGGAACAGATATACTGAGATTTAGAGAAAATCCTGTATCAAGCTATGCTACATTTAGCTACACATGATGTGCAGCAAATGCTATGGAATCAAAAGCTAGAAAATTGGTTGTAAGAGCATTATGGGTGGTTTGTTTACATAAAGATTCTGGTCTTGCAAGCATTGTTTTATTTAAAATCAGAATGGCTTTGACAGTCAGTGTTAGTATGACAAAAATGTCCTAAGATGACGGTATGGGTTGATTTGGGGAAGGAGATTTGGAAAGAGAAGGAGGGAAAGGAGAGAGTTGGCTTTGGATATTCTGTTGGTGCCTCTGGCACCAATAATTAGCCAGGTGTGATATAGAACTGATGTCTATTTTTTCCACTTAACAACTGCATGTCAGTTTTCAGCATTAAAATTGTGAGGCTTTTATAATATTTTTATTTATTTATATTTTTTTAAGCAGAGTACAAGCTGCTCCTTGAATTGTCATGCTGGTTATCCTGCTAAATTTCTCAGCTCTTTGCCCTAACTTTTCCCTCAAAAAGAAAGTAGAAACAGCATCAAATTCTTTCTGGTTCTGTGTGGGACTGCTTGGACAGCAAAAACTGGCCACGGATTTACTGATTTAAAACTGAATGTTTCAAGAACAAGTAAATCAACTGAAAAAGCAGCCAGCTCAGGAAATTATGCTTACAAGGTACAGATACTCTTACTATATAAACCCATTACATTGAATTTGTAAGCAAAATCAAATAGATACACTCAGGAGTACCTTCGATTAAGTGCTTTGTGTCACACTGGGTAAGACTGTGCGTGTTCAGATTTAATAGGCTGACTCCAATGTCAGATGCCCTTTCAACAGAGATATTTGTGGGGCAGCAAGAGGAAAAAAAGTATATATTCCTTTAAAGCTAGCAGACAGCATTCCTGCAGTCATACCACAGACATATTACAACCATTTGCTCAGACTGCTGGCTGATAAGTACTTCTTGCCAATTTATGTACTCTTATACACATAACATTGAAGCCTAAAAAAACCTCATTGACTTAGACGGTTCGTATCTTAGCCATGTCACTATTAAATGTGTAGTGATCCCAATAGTATATGGTGGATTAAAATACACTTTCCATAATAGAACCCAGCCATAATCAAGGTTACCAACTGATGAAAAAGATACTTTTTGCTTGATAGTTTCTTAGAAGAGATTAGTGCTGTCAAAATTGGGTCCTAACTTCCTAACTTCATTTTTTTCTGGCTTCTTCTAGCCAGTTTTGCTTTTCTCTGCAAGATTAAATAATCCTTTAGTTCTGCGTATTTTCTCCCTGTGAATATATTTATATATCGTAGTCTATTTACTTCTCAGTATTCTTTCTCATAAGCTAAACAGATTGAGTTTTTAAGTGTTTTGCTATAAAGCGTTTATCTTCTCTTCCTCGAATCATTGCATCCTTTTTTTTAATATCCTTTCCAATTTTTCAAAACTTTCTTTAAAATGTGTGGGGAAAAGACCGTTACTTGAATTAAACTGATCAGTTTACAGCATACAGACATGCAGACACATCTCTGCTCCAATTCAGCTCTTTGCCTCCTATTCCTGTCAGACTCTGAGAGGATCACCAATGTCAAAGCAGTAACACACGTGAATTGCTGTTGTGTTGTTTTCTTCATCCTGGTGTAACAGATTCCTCTGCAAAAATACATTTCTGTCTGCTAAAGCCTGGCTTTTTTATCCCCACTGGCAAGCTTTCTTGTGCAAGGCCAAAGGTCTCACCCCATGAGGATAATTTGAGGCTTAGATCCCTGTTCTTCGCTATGGGGCAGGTTTGGATGACTCTCAGATGTTTATAGCCTTTCATTATTAAAATGGAGTAATCAGATTTGCTGTCAGGGTGTTGGGATCGCATCAAGCATTCAGAGGGCAATCGCACAGGCTTTGTCTAGACTAGGGTTTAAATGTGTGTCATTAGCACATATTAGCTGATACATTTTAAAAGTCTGATGCAGACGAGGCATAATGCCTTTAATGTGAAAAGCTGGCTGAGTTAGGCCCTTGGGCATTGGCGTTGACTCTGGTTTGTCTATTTTAGAATTTTGGAATAAGTTAGCTGAGGGCTTGTCTGCAAAGACCAGTTAATTTGGAAGAAGATAGGCTATGAATCTAAAGGGCTGCTCCAGGACTTCAGGCCAGAAAAAGATTAATTCTCAAGTAGTTGCTCTGAAATAGCTCAATATAGTAGTAATATATACTTAACTAGGTAAGTTTTCCCTCACTTTTTTTTTTTTTT